AAAATGAATATGATTACAAAGGTGAATGTATCCCAAAACTTATGAAGTAAACTGTTTTTAATTTTAACCAATTGATATTATGTCATATTCTTAGTCAATTTAAATATTTGTAGAGGTGTGGCACAGTATTGATACTATGACTAGAATATAATAGTCTTTTTGCAGAATAATAAAAGAAATGAAAAAATATCGACTAAGATATAGAAAGCAGTTTGTCAAATATTACCTAATCAATTTGGTAGATGGAAGAAAAGAAATTGAATTTCATCATATGAGATGAGAGACAGTTCTCCACAACTGTATTTGAACCAGCTAGTAGTATAAAGAAATAAGAAGATAATAAAAGAGATAGTCTCTTTCATGTGTCAGAATAAATGAGTGTGTTTTTAATCAAACAGTTATTAAGCAATATCCGAACAATCTGAAAAGCGAGTAGTTCTTTTTGTTGTCTTTTTATTCATTGTTCGTCCATTCGAAAGAAAAGTAGCAAGAAGAATGAGGTTTTTTCCCCTGAACAAATTCGTATTGTAACAATGACACTATGATTTTTGCTTGTCTAGATGTCTGGTTGGCATTCGCCCAACCTCACCATATATGCACACACGCTTTAGACATTTAACAATCTTTATTCGTTCTATTCTCTATTCAACTATCTTTTTCTCTGTTCTATTTTTTTTTCTTTTCTTTTTCATCGCGTATATAAAATGTCGACACACTTTCATTCATTTTTGGGTCCAGTCCAAAATATTATCGTATATATTCATTCTCTTTTCTTCTACATTATTAAAATCAACGAATGAAATTTGTTTAAGCTTTCATCTATTCTTTCTTTTCTCTTATATTGCCTCTCTTTCTCTCTCGCTCTCTCTCTCTCCATCGTTTAGTATTTTATTTTTTACTCCATTCCTTTCATTTACAGAAAATAATGATTCTAGTTTAGACGTATATTTTTTTGTTTATTAGCTTCATGTATAGTTTCGCGTAAACGCGTTTTCTCTTCCATTTTTGTACGTTGTGATGGTGTATTAATTGAGAAAATTTTTTTCATTTAGATCTATATACATCTTCGGTATATACGCGCAGCCATAAATTTTTACTACAGTTCTGCCAACAAAGAAAATATTCGACAATAGTTTATTATTTTCTTATTTCTCTACGCTTTCTCTTTTTCTTTCGTCTCTGTATATATAGAATATTATACTGACTATTTATTATTATTATAACTACAACATATTCGTCGTCTTCGCATTTAAAACATTACAACATATCTACATAAATATATCTCCGTCTCTATGTCGTAATTTATTCACGTTTGAAATCGAAAACTAAAAATATACAAAATCCTTTATTTATTATTATTATCAATCGATATATCAAAATATTAAATAATGCCTACTCTCGTTCAAAGGCAACTATCAACAACAACCACATTAAATCGACGTTCAATTAAAACACAACAAAGTAAGAATCTTCAGAGATCAATTTCGGTAGCAGTGTAAAAGTGTGATAATATATATACAAACACAAGTGCAAAAAAACAATTATATAAAAGAATTAAGATTAAGAAAAAAAAAAAAACTTTATCACCGTGACAAAAGTTAAAACAAATATAGAACCAAATTGACCGTTCAGAGAGAATGAGTGCCAATTTTATCTAACAACTTAAGAAGAGATCTTGATGTATAAAAAGTTTTTAGAATAGAAAACAAAATAAGAAATAATGAATATACGTTATTTTTTTTCTTCTTCAATGAAGGTGTGTGTATCTTCTTATTGGTTTTTTTTTTTCGCGGAAAAAAATAGGAAGATAATTTTGTCATTTTACGCCAACTATATTATGACAAAGTATAAAGTCAATTTGTTCAGGCACACCAATGTTTAAGAAAACGAAAAGACTAATTTTAGGGTGTGCACTTGTGTCAATTTTCATTGATGGCACGATATTGTGCGTTAGTAAGTGAGACTAAGTGTGTGTGATATAACAAAGAATAGAATTTGTCATTTTATATATATTTGCTAAAGGTAAACAGAAATGCAAACCTTAAAATCAAATTATATATATATAGGTATGTGTAAAATAAGGTTAATGTACCCATCTCATATAACCAGAAAAAAAATGACATTCGCTATTTTTATTATACTTGAAAAATATTTTTGTCAAGTTTGTGTTTTGACAAATTGAATGAATTGTCTTCATTAATATTAGGTTTAAGACAATAGACACGAGATGCCGAATAAGTTCTTTCCGCGTAACAATAACAAAAAGCTTTGTTATATTTTATTAGAAAAAGAAATGAAAATTTATATCATGTTGTGTTAAAATGGTAGAAATAAATGTCTAATATCTATTCTCTCAGGTATCCTAGCAAATGTATGACGTATTAGAATAAGAGTTTTCAAAATGTTTAGTCTATATCTAACATGAAATGCGTTTAGCTTTTATTTTGATAAAAAAATTTTCTTGCTCTGAAAACGGAACAGTTTCTATCAATAAAAAAATGAATAATAGATATTTATACTTAAGGTACAAAGAACGATTTTTATACTTTGTTACTGTTCAATTTATATGTAAACAAATATTTTTCAAAATGATTTCATCATCCTGTCAGCATTATTGTTACCCATTCGGCAGAGGTTATGTTGATTTCGACTGGGTACATTTATTTCAACAGAAAAGAATGGTTGAGGTAACCTGCTAGAGAAAAGAAAATTTACTGTTTTGTTTTTTGCTTAGTCAACGTCAATGTAACCAATAGAAAAGAAATTGACAATAATGATAGATGCATTTTTTGAATCTATTTGTTTTAAAGCTGACGACCTGTTGCACTGATTGGGGGAAAAGAGATATTTTTTCATTCGGAAGAAATAAAAGCAAAGTAACTCTACGATTGCGTCGTCGTGCACGAATACATGTGAACTGTATAACAATTATACTTTTTCTTAATGATATCTGTCATCATCATAAGATAAAATAGTTAATATAAATCTAACAAATTCTCCCCCCTCCCCTCTTACACTTATATCATCACATTATTTTAACCCTTATCGACACTGCATTTTTACTTAAGCACGTAAATCATCACGTTTTCTACTTTTATTTGGTTCCTCTTAACAATTGAGCGCATCTATTCTTTATTGTATAATCGATGCTTTGTTATGAAAAGGTACAATTTGTATATAACAGTCGTGTTCTTTTCCATCAGTTGTAATAGTTGTACACAAAAAGAAAATCAAAAAAAAAATCAAAAAAAAAAATCTTTCATTTCATTATATTTGATGAATATTTTTAAACAATGTTTCAATTCTTCAAATATTAAATAATAGACTTGTGATGAAGGACAAAAGTTGTTCTTTAATAGTAGAATATAAAATATAAGCGGCAAAAAATTTTTCTTTCAGGGATCAAGGGATACATTCTCAATTCAAATTTTTAATAAATTAGTTAGCACTGAAAGGTGATACCCAATATATTGTTTTCATCAAAGTTCACTTTCGTACACACACGTCGTTTTAAGACAATCAGCTTTTTTGTATTATATGAAAATAATTTAAATAGATAATGTATATGTTAAATTGTATTCACTTTTCTTTAAAGAGAATTCTATTTTGGCTTGTTTCCAAAAATGTGTTTCCATTCTGATGGTAGAAAAAAAGAAAAAGAAAAGAATAAAATCCTATAATATATATGTTCAACATGGGCATCATCTTCACTACTACTCAAAAACGAATAAAAGCAGAAAAAAAGCTTTTAACTAGAATCGTTATATGCGTAATGATACATGAAAATGGAGTGTAGAGTTGGTTTCTAGCCAAAAATAATAATCGAAAGAATATTGTTCATTATTATTTTATAATTAATTTTTCTCTTTTTGTTTTTAGATTCAGATCCACTAAAAGCACGCTATTTGATATCACATAAAGTTGGCTCAGGTGGATTTGCTGACGTTTATGCTGGCATATGCAAAAAAAATGGTCTACCCGTTGCAATCAAAGTTATCCCAAAGAAACGAATGCGTGAAATAACAACGGTAAGATAGTTATGATGGATTTGCACAACGATTTTTAATGACACGTATGGAATTGATCATGCGTAGCTATTAGATTTATTTTAAACAAAAGATATATCTATAGCAACAATTATACTCTTCGTTGATTTTAATCTATTCTTTTCTATTTTTATATGTTTATACATTAATCTTCAAACGACATATCCTTCTATGCCCATCTAAAGAGGCCTACACAATCAAAGTTATCTATATATTATTTGTTACTTGAAGGTTGATAATTTTCTTTTTTTTTTTGTCTTATCAACATGATCCAGCATAGGTCATTTTACCTTTTCTTCCTTGATATGTTCGTTGTGTAGAAATGAGATGAGGTCAAAATCTCAAGGTTCTCTATCATTTTGTTAATCATCACCTCTCATTACACAGACATATTACGTTTTGTTCTTTGTTTTATGATAGAGAATCCTATACTTGTCTTTCAACAAACAGAATATTCCGCCTTCTCATTTACGTCGTTGTTGTTGTAATTAAGTACTTTTAACTTGTTTACATGAGGCGGACGAAGTATCATCAAATGTTGATTTATCTCTTAGTTTAGATACATAAAAGATCATATCGTAGATACAAGCTTATAGTAAACAAGGAATTAGATTCAATCATGAGAAGACAAAAAAAAGTTTTTAAGTCATAAAGTGTTGTCTCGTAATTATTTTTATTTCAATCGTTAACCACTCCTCATTCTTCTAACCTCAATTTTGAAATTGGATTGTTTGTAATACGCCATGTTGACATTGTTTAACGTTCATTTAACTAAATAAGTTTTGTATTATTTTTGCAACGTTAAAAGAGAGGAAAAAGAACAAAATTCTTTTCTCATTGCTTATCATTTTGTTCATTCATAAAAATTAATCGGGCTTCTTCGGTTCAATAAATTTTTCGATTTTCATTTTCTTCCTTGTGTGTGTATGAACACGTAGAAATACTCACGGCTTCTATTTTCATTCTATTATGGATGTTCGTGACATAGAATAAATTTTAACTATTATTATTGATCATGAATAAAATAGAAAAAGAAAGTCAGATTTATTTTTTACACTCGATAGTAAATGAAGTCGTTCAAATGGTATAGAATCATATTAATCGAATAAAAAGAATAAGATAAAGGAAATTATACATACAGAGTAACAACACTCATGCACTTACACATTTCATAATTTCTATGTTCCTTTTTCTCTAATCAGTTTTTTTTTCAATTAAAATATCGTTTTCTCTTTGAGCAAAGAATTTTCGATGGATTTGATCGAGAATTCACTGAGCGTCTAGAAAAAACACTACCAAAATTCTTACGGTAGTGGATGCAGAGTCAGATATAAATGAATGGAATCGTTATTAAGTACGTAGAAGAGATGAATTTTTCTGTTCGATATTGTTTGTTTAAGAATTGCATTCTACATTTAGTTTTTGCTTCATCACTATATCTCACCTGAGACAGAGTCTGTTTTATATTATATTACACTTGAAAATTTCAGGTGCTTCGTTGTACTTGAATATTTCTCATATTTTGTCCTCCTTTATTTGTTTCCATTCATTCCTTCATCTTTATTATCACTAAAATATCATGAGAATCACAGTAGTTGAAACAAAGAAATGAGCAACACAATAATAACAACGTGTCAAATTATGTGACACTTTTCTAGATAAAAGAAAGAAAAAGTCCATGAGTAATTAAGAAAATGAAATTTGATAATAGAAATTGTTTATCTAAAAAATGAGACTAAATGGACATAAAAATAACCGTCTGCTTTAAGGCTATATCCTCATAAATTATCAAAAAATAAAAAAGGTATGATACTAAAAAACGCACTGAAAGATTTCATAAATAATGGTAGTGGACTGTTGAAATTTATTGGTTAATTGCGCGTATGTCTTGCGGTAATATTTCGTTTTCTCTTAAATTTTTTTTTTTGTTTCAGTCATATAGTTGAAACATAGATTCATTTATTGACATGTATTGAAGATTTATTTTTGATGAATCTACTGATATGTGTGAAGTTGTTTTCATTTAAAAAGATAAGATAGCTGTATTCTATTTTCTTTGAAATAAATATCTCTATAAGTGTGTGTATGCATGATACTGTTTGTTTATGAAAATAAATATATCGGAGTGTCGATCAATCATAATCAACATCAATAAATAATCTAAGTTTTAAATTAAAAATAAAAAGGAAACTGATGACAGACAGACTATGTGAGAAAATGTTAAAGACAGTTTCAATATTTACCTACGCATTCCTTTCGACAACAATGACTTATTATTTTACAACAGTAGTTTATTTATTTCCGTTTATATCTTTTTTTGCATTTTTCCAGATTTAGTCTATGAATAAGTGTTTGACATTTAAGTAGAATATTGCCAATTTTATGGTACTGAATTACATACATACTCGATATATTATTATTATAGATAACTTTAGTGAAGTAGAAAAACTGAATATGATCACAGTAATCAATAAGATTCGTGGGTACACATTGACCTTTCCATAAAATGTATATTGACTGTGACGATTTTTATAAGTTACTTCTATCGAGTTGGATGTGATGACTGGTAATCTGGTAGTTTAGTATTAGAATAATGACACGAACAGTCAGAGCATTGACTGTTAGTCTACAGTGGGATTAATTATGTCATTTTTTCCTTATATGAGATGTCATATTTTTTCTTTCACATGGAAGAACTTCAAATCCTATCACGGTAGACAGACAGAATGCAGGAAAGGAAATATACTGTAGCAACACTATTCTTTTGTCATGTTTTCGAACGACGCAAAATTTATTTGATTTTCTTTTATTTTTAGCCTGAAGGCAAATTACCACTTGAAGTTGTTTTATTGAAACGCGTTGCTAAAGTGAAAAATGTTATTAAATTATATGAATATTTTACTCATAATGATCAACTTATAATTGTATTAGAACGTCCTGAATCATGTTGCGACTTATACGATTTTATATCAGAACGTGGTGGTATAGATGAACGTTTAGCAAGAGATTTTTTTAAACAAAGTGTACAAATCTTACAAGATGTACATCGTTGTGGGGTAAGTACAGCCTAATCTAATTCAGTTTTTTCAGAAAATATTTATCATTTTCATTTCTTTTTCACAGGTATTACATCGAGATGTCAAAGATGAAAATTTTCTTGTCGATATGAAAACTGGAGAATTATTATTGATTGATTTTGGTTCTGGAGCTTTGTTACATGATGGAATTTATACAGAATTTGAAGGTAAGAATTATAAATTTATCTCAAAAAAGTTTTTTGTTCACTGATCTTTATATTTTCAGGTACTCAAGTTTATTCTCCTCCAGAATGGATTACATGTCGACGTTATTTTGGTTTACCAGCAACAGTTTGGTCCTTAGGAATTCTGCTTTATGATATGGTAGTTGGAGATATACCATTTACTGATGATTTACAAATAATAAAATGTCAATTGAAATTTCCAGAACATTTATCTCAAGGTAAACATATGTTGGTTTTACCCGCATGTTACTTAGAGTCAAGTGCATATAAAATATGTCAAGTTAGTGGCGAGCACGATTTATGAGATAGAGATAGAAACACTTTGAGTTATAATTGATCAAAAGAAACAAGCGGTTTATTTCCATAAATATAATAGGTTCTTAGGTTCGTTTATTTTCTTTTGTATTAATAATGATTAAAGAAACGAGCAAGAGAAAAACGCTATTTTAGGTCGAGTTGAGCTTGACATACAAAGTTTTGTTTATGACGTAATGATATTGTTTAAAGCAATAAAAACATATTAATGTCCCTGAATAACAACTGTTGTTAAGATAGTCTTTTAAATTTATCGAGATAGATCACTGAAGGGCTGTTTGTGTTTCTGTTTCATTATTGTCAAGAAAGAGTTATTTTATTTTGAATAATGTAACATGTGTGCTAACATGTTCCATAAAAACGCGACTTTTTGAGGACATTAATAAGGATATGACTTGTAAATGTGATATAGTTCGATTTTGATCATACACATTTGTCGCCTTTGACTAGCGAAAACTTACTTAATTTCTTTTTAAAAGACAAATAAAATTTTCTTTCTTTCTTTTTAGAATGTATCAATTTGATAACATGTTGTTTATCAATTCGTTCTTCGGAACGACCAACTACTGAACAATGTATTCAATCTGACTGGCTAAAACTGCCACATTCACGTGATTTACGTTTAGCAACATCGTTACGTTTAAGAAAAGACACTGTAAAATCGAATGCTAGTTCATTAGTATCTAATGGATCTCGCGGTAATTCATCCTAACATCTATTAAATATTTGTTTGTACACAGTCTTACGGCTGAGAAAAAACATTGAAACAATAATACTGAAATTTCCAAATAATGTTTTTCCTTTGTCCGTTAAGGTGTAATTTTCCGTCCGTTTGTTCGTTCGAATCGAAATTCCCTTCGCTCTATGCAAATAATCATTAGCCTATGACAATATGGCAGTTTTTTTCTCTCAATCAAATTTTCCAGTTGTTTATTTTCTTCCTTTTTTTAAAACTCAATTGTCCATTCTCTCTCTCTCTCTCTTCATTTTCTCTTCATAGATATCTGTATAACAAAAATGTTTGACACAGTATGTGAAAACACATGTTATTTTTCTATAAAAAATGAAAAATTAAAAAAACGTAGATGCATCCTATTTTTTTACATAGAAATACAAACACACCAAAGAACAAGATATATCGATAGTGCAACGAAATAATAGGAACAACTTGCCCAAGTACTATATTAAACAGTTATCTCTTAGATCGAATTCAAAATAGTTGTGTCAAACATTTTTGTTTTTTATCATTTTTAACTTGTATATAAATTGCCCTTCTACTTTCACTATCGGTTTAACCGTGTGTATGTACAAAGTACAAATGTACATGCTTATTTACTCTTTGTGTGTTTGTTGTATGTTAATCTTGACTAAGAAACTGCAATATATACCGATCATCATCTTATTGACAATAATAAACACGTTTACACGTGTTGGTTTTTTGCTCGATTTTCTCTTGGTCAAACACTTGGTTTTCCTTTTCTTAACCTTGAAAACAGTGTCTCTCTGCTGCGTGTTTTATTTTGATGCTTAGATTATTTCCTTGTTTCCTGTTTATCTTTGGCAAAATTTTTTTTCTTTCGTTTATTATGTTATGCATTGTTGATATATGAACGTTTCAACTCGATTTTGCTGTTTTCTCGTCTTCTCTTGTGCACACTCTACAGTTGAACTTCTGTCCTTTTTTGTATCTCAAAAAGTAAAGAAACACGGCGGATATAGTGCACGAAACATTTGCTGATATTATAATGGTTGTACAAAGAGATAGAATAGACGAGTGAGAAAAGATGTTTTTGATGTGAGGAATTTTTCAACGGATTATTTGTTTACTTCAATCTGATATTTTTTCCTGTTTTAACTTTAATTCCATAAAATAAAAAAATTAAGAAATCCAAAGAATATGGATGCTTTAATAGCTTTTGAAATATTCATGCATACAGAACTCAATATAGAAAAAGAAAAAGATAATTCTCTTACTACTGCTCCTTCCTTCACTGATGAGAAATCTATTAACATACATTTACTAACCTAACAGTCGTCGCTTTTTCATCGGATAAAAAGAAAAGCAAGAGCTTATGCGATTTTTACTACCCATGAATAAGAATTAGCAAAAGTGATCCACATCCCTTTAGACACAAATTTACTCAAAATTAAAATTCATTTACAAAATGCCTGTAAAAATTACAACAAGAAATTATCTGGCGTACACATCTGTTAAAAAAAAGTAAACAATAAATCAGATTGTTTCTTTTTGTAAACAATTGACGAAACGCAAAAAGACCTAATTCAATCAAGACAACATGACACTAAACTCAACAAAAATCTCTCCTGTCCATTTCAAAATAGAATGCACTCACGAAGGAACGTTCCCAACTGTCAAATCGCTTTCGAGCCGAAACCTAGTGGACTATAGGTAGTCGGCCATGCTGATTCCGAATATCAACATGAGACGGGCCGCTAGGCCTCCAGAGATCGGTTTTCTGAAAAACCAGTTTTCAGAAACTCTAAACAATAGCCAAAACCTTTCTTATTGAGGCATAATTATAGCCCCCACATTCTGATTAAAATGAGACATCTCCCAGCTCTACACGGCCTTTCTTTGCAAAGTTATAAAATTTACAAGAAAAGCACTAAATTAATTGCTTCCTATTTCTGTAGCTTAGGGCTGACAATGAACATTTAAGGCTTTTGTAAATTCTATAACTTTGCAAAGAAAGGCCGTGTAGAGCTGGGAGATGTCTCATTTTAATCAGAATGTGGGGGCTATAATTATGCCTCAATAAGAAAGGTTTTGGCTATTGTTT